ATGCGAGGAACATGAAACAAAGCACGATTACAAGTCTGGTACGCAGGAACAAGGCCACTAAAACGTTAAACAGGTACTTTTAGAATTCACCTACAATTCGTATGATTAAAATCCTGACTTATTTTAGACAATAATTGTTTTAATTGGATTACGATATTATACATCAGGACATTACTTAAAATTGTAAGCTCCAAACAAATTGCTTAAGAGAAAATCTTGTTATTTGTCGTTCTCAAAATGGGCGTAGTTCTATTAGCCATAGGATGAAAAGCTAACATTACTGAACGGAGCTGGTAGGCCCACGCTTTCCTAGCCTGTCGACTACTAGGTAATTACGTGAAACCTTTATAATATCCTAAGATTAATAGAACGATGGCTTTACTAACTGGGAGTGATTATTTTGATAAATGGTGATAGGACGTTTACATCCAACCACATAAATTTCACCAGTTTTATTAAGAATTGATCATTCAATAATTTTGTAACAGGTACCCGTATTGCGAGGGATTATTTTGATCATAATAGTGCTGGATGCGATAGAGGTTGGAGACAGCGAGTACATTGGATATTTGTATAACTAAATCCAAAAAATAATTGTTGAGCAGTGTTGGAAAAATAATTGTTGAGCAGTGTTGGCCTCATCCCTGAGGTCGTAGGTTCGATCCCCGGCTGTGCACCAATAGACTTTATTTCTATGTGCGCATTTACCGAACTCGAACGGTGAAGGAAAACATCGTGAGGAAACCGACATGTCTTAGACCCTTGTGTCAGGCACTGAAGCTTGATCACCTACTTGCCTATTAGATTGAAAAACGATCATGAAACAGATTCAGAAATCTGAGGCCTAGACCTAAAGAGGTTGTAGCGCCACTGATTTTTTTTATTCCAAATAATTATAAAAGCTAGTAATTATTTTAAATATTTTACTATTAGATACTCTAAGTCTAAAATAAGCGAGATAAAATCTAGTGACGCATAGGGTTGTAACTCTTAATGTCTGGGGCTCAATATCTCAATATTTGGTGATAATTTGCTATATCTAATAGGCAAGTATAGATAGATCGTCAACGTTTTTGCGTATGCCAGTTTCCTCACGATGTTTTACTTCAACGTGGGATCGAGTGTTAAAAACGCACGGCAGAAGTCCATTGCATAGTAAACCGTAGGAGCTGTCGTAGGTTCGAATTCCGGCTGAAGTCACACACTGAAGCAAACAAGCGAGAGCTCTTATTAGTTACTAAACACTAAAATAACAAAATACCTAACGTTTTTTAAATAAGTCTCTCTTTAAAGATTCAAGAGGATTGCTAACAAAAAAATTCCTGCCATTCTCTGGTGTACATTTGTATAAATATACTGTTTTAATATTGAACGTTTACTTTGATTACTGTCTTCACGTTCAGTGTTCGAGATCGTAACGCTATCTCAACGGGACATAGCTCCATTTTTCCGCTCACAACGTTATCTTTTCCAGCCTAGTGGTTTTGCTTTGCGCTATTTTATTGTTCTCGTGATTAAAGAGCTTACAACGCGAATTGGTTAAATTGCCTTCGTGTTCAGGCTCGTTAAATAACAGTTAAATTCTTATTAAAGTTGTTAAATGATAAACATATTCCCGTTGCCTTTCACTTTAATAATTAGATACAATATTTGAAAAAGCTAAAGAGCTAAATACTGCTACGCTATTCTGGAGTTATAACGTCACTGTAGAATGATAACCTCGTATGTCAAAAAACCATTTATTTTTTATTCTTAGACTCTTATGTCATTTAACTAGTATAATCATGAAGTAAGGACTTATTTATGTTATTATTAAATAAGTTCTTTTAACCATCCAAAACTATGAACAAAACACATAATAGGTAACGACCATTGACGAAATTAACATTTTTTCCGTTTCCTGTAATGTTCTGTTCTCTGGACATACGAGGTTATCATTCTACAGCGACGATAAGTTGGAACTAACTTATATTAAAAAAGTCTTGATCTTTTCTTAAGGACGGTCATAAATTTGTAAGTTTGACAATGCAGACATCAGACATCTGAACGATGTAGATGATAACCGCTCAAATCATTTCTCAAAAGGGCCATTTCAATTCTTTATCGAACGACCGTGTAATTAGAACCATTTAGAAAAGACCTCTCTTTTTGAAAGCATTGTTTAGCGTGCAGTGAATGTACAGCATTTTAGGAGTTCTACAAAATTGGTCGATTTTGTCGGGCATTTGCGCCAAGTTTCTCCCAATTACACCGTTTCTAGGCGGCGATTGGTCGAGGAATCCGAGCTGTCGTGACTCTGATAAAAACTGACGCAAATCGCCGATACGCCTCGTGCACACAATTTCATGCTTCAAGTTTTGAGAACAATCTAGATTCGTCATACAACAATAACGTGAAAATTGACGAATTAGAAATTTGAAATTCGTGCCGAGACTTGGAGAATAATTTTTGGAAAATTCTAATAATCTTCTTGATACAAAACAGATTTATTTTGATTAATTTAAATCAATAACTAGAAAGGTAAATCTATTGTAAAAAAAATTAAAATCTAATGCACACAGATACAAATAACATGTAGACAAAGTTCGAACACAAATCGGATCCGAAACGAAAGTACTGAGTTATCTGATGCGAACACTATTTTAGTAGCACATAATTTCGAATTGAAGTTTCATTACTCATATTACATTGACAATGATCTTGCGAAGAAAGGTTATGAGGCCGATGTACTTGGTATTTGGATCGCCCCGCCTACAGCGTCTGTTCCCACCTTCGGTAATCTTATGAAACATCTCTAAATATATTATGTGCTTATTACAACGCCCATACACATCTTAAGCGTACTTAGATGTTTTATTTTGTAATTGTGACGAAATTATACATTTGAAGCGCGTCATTAAATCCTTATACAGTCGGGTATTAAAGTTTTTACTTCAGTTCATTACCAAGAGAGCGCTAAAAGAGAAAATTTCAAACAGTAGAGTCAACCTTTGTTACAGATCATAAGATTAATTTAAATGAGTAATAATTATAACAACAATAAACAGATGAAATTAGATTAATTTGATGGAATATTGAGTTGAAGATAAACATTAATAATGAGGAATTGGATCGCTCCCGCTGAGTCTGGGAACAATGCGCTTGTCGAGTCATCGTATTGCAACTTCGATTTGTCGCGGACCAACTTTTTTATATCTTTAATAATAGGGCTGTCCACACTGTTTTAAGTTGCTTCTTTCCGGCAATTCTGAATTGTTAAAACCGTACATGTAATATTAATGCGATCAAAATTTAAATCCTTTACAATCTTAGTTATAGATTTTTGATAACTTTTCATTCAAAAACCAAACGAAATTCTCTATAATCCAGACATCTTGAATGAAGAAAATAAACTATTGTCTTCTTTCTACATTCAATATCAAATCATAGTAAACTCCTCACTAGACGGTCGACGACTCAAATGTTTTAATGTTAAATCTAAGGAAACATACAGACCCCTCCGGCCAACCCTAGCCGTAGACCAGTGTCCATGGGCAGTTGATGCTTATCACCGCGATTCGTTCCACCGAGAGGACACAGCGCGTGACGCTGCCGTATCGATTAGAAATCTCGGATGCCGCAATGAGACGTGCTGTCGGGCCGTGGTCTCTATTAAAACAAGTTCTGTTCTATTTATTTTTTAGATAGATGTATGAACACTACGTATATTATCTTTTATTCAGTTATTACTTTATGCTGAACAAATTAACCACGATGAAGTGTTATCTGTGTTACAATAACCGTAACTCAAATTATACACCCAGTTGAAATATAGATATACAAATAACTATTCTCGCTCTTTCAGCGGCGTGAAATTAATAAGTTGCGTTTTAATTAATACTTAATAATGTATTTATTGAATTATTCAGTATTTCTTTAACTAAACTCACGAACTCACTCAGAGTTCAGGTACGAAGTGGACTATAGTCCCGTTAACGAGAAATGTATTGTTCAGAAGATCCGAAATTATGTTAAAATGAGTGTTTTCATAATACCAACGTTACAAAGAAAATGTTTCTAGTCAAATGGTAATGACTTAACAACGCGCGACTTGTCCTTGTGTATGGTAATGCTAGAGTTCAAAAGTCCAAAGAAAGATTCATCTTTGTCAATGTCATTTGCTATAAGAGAAAAACTAAAAATAGGCAGTAATGGAATGCATTTATGATGGCATGTGCCTTGCTCTTTTATTTCTTTGATTCATTAAGTTTATCTGAGTAGAGTTAGACATTTAGTTTTGTAGCACGATCCGATTTTGATTATTTTATCACGCGATTTTTATTAATTACACTGGATTAAACGCTGTTATCGTGTTCTCAAAGTCAATAAACGATAGGATCAATAGATAGTTTATATAGCATAGCACATAGTAGAAAACGAAATATATAAACTTATTCTTTAGATTTTAGTTTAAAATTGTTGCGTAAATTTCCAACCGAATCACTTTTGTAAGCACATTGTCTTCTAATAGTTATTTTAACTGAAGGTTAAATGAGGTTGTTTTTGAGTCGTCATGAAATGTTAGTCACAGGACCACGTGCTCACAATAATTTTAAACAAATTTCTTGCAAATTGTCTTCACAAATTACAATTTCGATATCCAATTACTTTTTATTCCCAACCACAACTCTACGTGTAATTTTAACCTACAAAGCGTACTTTAAACTATTCTTTATTTTTACTTAGTCTATGTTACCAACTGGCTTGCTGTTGCAATCTGCTACGTCATGCGACTATTTTTTGCCGATAACAACATTTTTTGCTTATTTTACTTTAATAATTTACTTAACCTCATGTTTACTTGAATGGTATTAAACCTTTTACTAACATTACGTCTTTTCCCATCCACATAATTTTTCACTCCATTTCTTTCGCTCTTAGAAGCAATAGGACTGTTTAGGGTATAAAATACAATGGAACAATGACCCAGATCCGGCGAAAGATAAGTATCATCGATACGCATGCGTGGAATTGATAACGCTAACCAGCCAATGTTTACTCGAGTCGCAGCAACACGCGAAATGCGTCACCCGTGAGAACCAGCAAAACTACTCGAGTTGTATTAGAAGCGGAGGGCTCTAGCAACTAAAGGTGTATTAAAAAAATAGCAGCTGTCGGAAACGGCAGATGCTAAACGATAGCTGAATTAAACTCACCCATGATAAAGATTGTGGAGAAAGCGCCGGCGCACTCACAAACAGCACACGTGCACGAATGCCGCGGCCGCGCACCTGTCACCGACTGACTCGCCATTTCCATATTTAACAGTATTTATGAGGACCAGGCGCACGCGCAGGCCGGCGCGTCGAGGTGGACTGACTGCCGAGCGGCGCGATACCTGCGCTCACCTGTCCCTCCCTCCCCCCTGCCATCAGGAACCGGATGGCACTCCAAAACAAAACGGTCAACAAAGGACGTGCCACGAATGTTCGCGCCACCGAATGCGTCCACAGAAGGGTCGCCGCCCGGGGGCTGTTTCTGTTTGAGCGGGGACTATTACACAACACTTGACTCACGCGCCGAAAACTTAATGATTTATTGTCGTCGAGTTACCACAACGGACAATCGATTCGGAATAAAACGAATGCGCACAAAGCGAAAACAGCTGAAAGTGTTAATTCGAAATGATTGCTCAATCTAATTGTAGCCTATACAAACAATTGGACAATGGACCTAAATAAGTTTTGAAATCATTTACCATATCAATGATTTTTGTAATGATAGAAATGACGTGTGCATTATCGTAATCGATATTACTGGTCAGGTACACTGATATGACCTCAATTTTAGCGATAATGTACTTTGTAAAACTGATATATTCTGCGGGACATTATTTATGGCACTACCAAATATTTTCTGACATACATTTAGAACTATCTATTACTATCACTATTTACTACTATACATAGGTATATATTACCAATAATAAGAAGTTATTAGAAATTATAGGATTAATCCGCTAACCTAATCCGCAATTTTGTTGGTATTTTTTTCTGCTTAACAAAAATTTCTGGTATTTTTATTGTATATTGTCATATATTTTAGATAAAAGAACTTGTAACGTAGATATAGTATTTTGTATGGTGCTTAGGTCTTTTCTTGAACAATGAATTTACCTGAACGAGCATAAACATGAAACCTAAACTGTTTTAAAAAAATCTTTATCTACCATTGGAGATAATTAACTCTGAGTAGGGAAAATAGAAGCAAATTTCGATGTTCATTGAAGTGACATAAAATAATTGGTGACTCAGGGTATTTTCAGAGACGTACTCAGCGCTTACTCTGTTCTCTCTCCGTGCTTATCTTCTTATCTTTCCGTATCGATCGATATAAAATAACTGTTATCATTAATACGTTATTTAATTTTACAATATTAAATCCTTTAAAATAACAATTCATACGAATTGAACAATTCCAAACAGAATATATTTATAACGGAATTTAATATTTACCGTTCTTCCACATTCGTTTAATACTTAACGTTATTGTACACCTCATATCATTGCTTTAGTTCCTCTTAAGGCAAATGCACATACATGCTAGACAGTAATATAGACTATATGGGACGATTGACGTTAAAAGCCTCATTTTGGAGTATGATCTAAAACGGGTTTAAACTAAAAAAACTATGTGTATACATATAACTGTTAAATCAAATAAAAACTTATTTCTTAAATATATACAGGTGCATTGTTTAAACTGTATATTTATTACTATGGTATAATTATAGTCGATTAAATACGCCTTTGAAAACTTTTACATTAACTAAAATACAGTGGTTTCCTGGAAGAGATCGCTCGAACGTGCTGCAACGAAGTGTTTAAATAAGCTGCCTATTTTATAAACAGAAATTCATGAAAATCTGAACTTTAGAATCATTTAGCCTTTTCCTTAGCCTTCCTTCCTAGCCTTACCACTTCTAAAGTTTTATCACGCATTCAATTTGACTGATAGTGAAGCCAGATATCGTGGGCTCCGGCAAAAAATTCTATCGACAAGGGCAGAAGGCTGATCACTAATTAGACGAATACAGAAAAAATTATAATCATGATGTTTATGTGGATTGTTATTGGAAGGTTACAATATGTTATATGTAGCTTATACAATACATAATATATCTAATATATAAAATTCTCGTGTCACAATGTTCGTTCCCATACTCCTCCGAAACGGCTCGATCGATTGTTATGAAATTTTTTATGCATATTTAGTAAGTCTTAGAATTGGACAACATCTACTTTTCATCCCCCTAAATGTTAAGGGTGGTTCATCCCCCCTCCTACATTTTTATTTTTTAGACAAAACTTTTTGTTTTTATTTTTTTATGATACAGCATACAAAAATAATACAACCCTTAAATGTCACCCCTATACAAGCAACCCCAATTTTTTATTATAGTAGATAGTTATTTTTATTGAACTAAAAAAATGTTTCCTTGAAATAATATACATGGCAATACAAACGTTTTCCGGGTCAGCTAGTATGTTATACAATATGCGTTTTGGACTGAATATATTAAGGGTTTTTTTTAATATATATAGGTTTTACAATGATCATTCAAAAACGCGGCCACGTGTACACCAGCCATTACTAAGTATTGTATTAAAATACGGAGCAATAAACATCGCGAAACGTGAGAAAATTGTAACTCAAGAACGAAATTATCCGTATAAATCATCTCCACGACAATGACGGCTGACGTGAATTTTGAAACTGTAAATCTGATGGATTTGTGAGGCCGTTCGTTTAGGTTTAAAACTCCCATTAGCTTTTGTTGGAACCAAGAAAAATCTTGCAATGAAATGTTTAAACATATAGAGGAAGTATTTAGACATTTATTAGAATGTTTAACACTTTATTGTATTACTGTGCATATTTTAGCATGATATGCATACTTTTTATTACCGTGTTTACATCTCTCTTAAATCTTTATATATTGACTAGCTGACCCGGCAAACGTGGTTTTGCCATGTATAATATATATAATAGTTCAATAAAAATAACTATCAATAATAAAAAAAGACTTGATCATCAAGAGCGAAAATTAAATTATCATAAAAAATAAAAACAAAAAACTTTATCGAAAAAATAAAAATCGTTTTTACGGTGGACACCCCTTATCATTTAGGGATTTGAAAGATAGACAGTAGCCAATTCTCAGGCCTACTGAATACGCATAAAAAATTTCATAGGAATCGGTCAAGCCGTTTTGGAGGAGTATGGGAACGAACATTGTGACACAAGAATTTTATATATGTATTAGATAATGATGTTGATATTTTGCCTCAACAAAACAATATTCATCTTTAATTAGATTGCATTTCAAAGTCTACTCCGGGTATGGCCATTTAATTTGGTTTGGGTGGCTTAAAGGTTCTTAAGTTGGACAAATGTAAATAATATTGATAAAAATAATAAGAAATCTGTATTCTTTATGAAGAGCAACAACTTTTAAGAAAATTTGTTATTTCTTCGATCAGGCCGCGACATTCTCTACTTTACATTCCTCTTGAGATAAACGATATATTATTCAAATCTATCTTCAATTTTATTCACAATTTGATGTATTTAAAAATCAAGCTAAATTATTAAAGTATGTATCGTGTTACGACCTGGTGTTTCGGGCGTTGGAAGAGCTTGAAAGTTATGGCCTGAAGACTAACTGTACTTGACAGTAACACTTAAAGGTTTATTACCAAAAAATTATTTGTAGCGTTTGACAAATTTAAAAAATAGTGGTGATTCAACCTATTAGGTCTGCCCTGCGATTCTGTAACTCACTTTTCGAACTCACACAGCGGTTTTCGCATCGGCATATAAACAATAAACTACAAGCTCCCACCTTTTCAGAATGCCAAATCGTAAAATGACTGCTTCACGACTGATTTGAGAGCGACCGCCGATGCGAAAACCGCTGTGCGAATTCGAAAAGTGAGTTACAGAATCCCAGGGCAGGCCTCAGATTTCTGTATGTTTTTCGTGATCATTTGTTGTTTCTAATCCTTCTGACACACGCCAACGACTTTTGGGTCTTGCATTTCACATGAAAGGTGCATTGGGGATCGTCACATGCTGAAATTACTTCAAGTTTTTAACATAGTTATATGAAGTCGTATTTCCTTAAGAAGTTGCCTTGTCAAGAATTCGTCTTAGTATTAACTTTCAATTCAATTTGTAGGCAGTAGGCTTACCTGGTGTTAAGTGATAGACACTCACATTGGCAGAGGACTTGCAAGTGTGTTTCCGGATTTTTATGAATTGGTACGCTCTTTTCTTAAAGGACCCTGAGTCGAATTGGTTTGGAAATACTTCAGTTCCATATGGTGGTGCGCGGCAAATACTTAAAAATCGCTCGGTTGTGAAACATCGGACGTCGAGGTGTGATTCCGGTTTCTGCTTTGACGTCCAATAATGAAACTTAGCTGCAGGAATTAATCCGAACAACTCCTCTGAAGACTCTTCTTGGTAAATGCGGTAGAAGATGTAGAGAAACTCCACATCTCTACGCAACGCCAGGGGAATCAAGCCGGTTGGAAAGTGACTGGTCGTCTGCGATTCGAACCATTCTACGTTGAATACAGCAAGGATCTGGTACTAGGGAGCTCCGGCCCAGAAGTTATTAATACGTAATTACGTAAACGTAGTTTGTTTACAATTTCGTTAACTTTTTTATTAAGCTTGACATATAAAATAATGCACATTTAAAAATAAAATAAGACCTTTAAATTTTTTATTAAATTGTGAAAGTGTTAATTACGCTAATTATAAAATCTCACCGCAGGTGTTTGCAATGTTAGGCAATACTCGTTTATGACAGGTTGTTTTTAAAATAATTAAAAGTTCATTTTATTAATTCACCCCGTCCTCTTAAAATTTTGGCCTAAAATAATTGTTTATATCTAAACATATCAATCAAATAGTTAAAAATTAATAAAAGAAAATAAAAACAAATTTTCAAAGTTTGGTCCCCATGGCAGCATTTCCCCTTTTCTCTTTAACGCTGGCAGCATTTCCTCGCTGTATTGCGATACTTATTCGTTGAGCGAGGAATGCTCTGGGGTAACCGTTACTATCTACCAGGAACCAACTTAAATTTTTAATTAGCGCCTGTGTACTTTAAGCCCACGTCCCAAGAGTCTCTACTCCAAAGGGAACAAAATCGAAGTTGGAGGAAAGACTGTTTAATTTTCTTTTTGATCCGTTTATATTCCGCCTGAAAGTTAACATTTTTATATTTCTATCATCCCATTTTTTTTTGATATCTGTGTGCCGTTTTTTGGCAAAGGCCTCTTCCAAGTCCCACCATTCCTGTCTACACTGTGCCACTCTCTACCATGTACAGCAAGGACATTACGTTACCTTTATTATTTGGTCTATCCACATTCTAAATTGGCTACTTCTTTTTTATTTATTGTACCTTTAGTACTCTTGCCATGTGCCCTGCCCATTTCCACTTAAGTTTATTTATTTTTATTCTTGCATCTGCCACCTTAGTTGTTCTTCTGAATAATGTATTATTTTCTTCCCTATCATACATCGTTCCATCGATCTTTGACACACCTGTATGTTGGGCTTTAGTGGGCGCCCAAGTTTGAGTTCCATATGTTAGTACCTTTTAATTACCATGCTCATTTTCTT